TAACTAACCAACTAACTAACCAACTAACTAACTAACCAACTAACCAACTAACCAACTTACTAACTAACTAACCAACTAACAAACCAAGCGCGTGATTCGTATTAATTGTGCGAATTCACGTTGACATTCGGAACGAAATTTTCGCATTTCAGGCAAGAGTGACTTAATAGCTTTAACAAAGAGTCTGGAATTACTAAACGCCATACATCCCGAGTGACTTCTACATAAAAAGTCTAGGATTGTGGATTTCATTGCTTCCGTTTTATCATTTCCACATGACAAAGTGCGTCCATTCTCTTTTCGATTGATGTCACAGACCAAGGTCTTTCCAACATATGTCGTTCTCGTATTCTGCATTCCGTAACGCTGTGATTCATCCAAGTACGTCCTTTATACCTGAAGAGAGTCTGGCACAAAAACATCCAGAATTTATCGAAGTACACGCAGATTGCTCATACGTGCAGAGGCTTGAAGTTATCATCACAGATGCTGTTTGGGGAAAGGCGTTCTTGCGAAACAAGTAGGAATAAAGAAACCTCTGCCAGATTTCTTGTCAAGTTTCAGACCTTGGGCATTTGTAAGACCAAGACGTACATCCTTTGCTCCTGCAGATAATCAGGTTTATGCTTACTTTGCAGCACGTTGGAAGATGTTAAAAATATTTTGCTCTCACCTGTTAGCCACAAGTAAATTGGAGTTATGCTTGATAAGTTATTATATTTTGCATCTAGTTGTGCCGTGCTCTTGTCACAGATCATTCAAGTATGACTTAATAATTTTAATTTTTTTAAAAAATCGCTGTCAGCCGTATTGGCATTGATTCCTCAATGTCTTCCTTTCTTGTCTCACATTTAGACGTGGCATTGGTACGTTCATCCGTTATTTATGAATCCGTACGAATCAACAAAATTTCAAGACACTCACCGTGTCCTGTTTATCTGTAACTGTGGGATTCGAAGAAACACGTTTATTATGCCTGAAGAAGCATTTCAGTTTTCCGCGTTGGTTGTGGTATTACCAAAAAATTCACACCATTCTGTATTCCATTTATTCGGTAATTAAATTTTGTTTCTGAAGTTGCGGATTTTGCCACAATCGCTTCTTAAATCAGGTGTAATTTGGTACGGGATTGTGAGAACTAATTCTGGAAATATTTTTGAAGAAACGTAACGGTTTTCAAAGGATTTGTGTTCTGCACTTTCTTTGCACTCCTTGACCGAATCCTGTGTTAAATGTGAGACGTAATTTTCTTTGCCATAGATGGCTCTGGCAGTGAAATCAGGATTGAGTATAAATTGTGCAGAGGCAGTGGGCTGGTCACTCACTACTCAAAAATGCATACTTCAAGACCAAGAAACCTCCGAAAAGGAAGCGGCGAAAACGAACAACAGGGTTGTAGAGCTACGAAACAACATCTCACGCAAAATGAAGGTGAGGAGAGAGTCACAAGTAATTTATATCGATTTCCTATGCTTTCGACAAAAATTGTGTATGTTGTCACAGTATATATATATATATATATATATATATATATATATATACACGTGTATATAAGTGTATATAAGTGTGCGTGTGTGTAGTGACTCTTCAGATTTACCCAATCTTTTTTCTTCAAAAATATTGCAACGCCTTGAACCACAAAGAAAGTACTTGATACCGGCAGCTCTTAGAAGACTTGTGGCACGACAGATATCACAATTTTCCTTTTAACATTGCATAACAGATCCAGTCATCGCGACTGCTGCACGACAGACCAAATTACATGCTTCTGATATGCGGAGTCGTAGCAGTGTGGGTTTCAATCATTACTGGACAGAATATCTCAACACGCAACATCTGATACATTACTCCGTCGAATACGAAAGACGAGACGCGGGGTGACTTAAGTTATATTATTTATAATTTTGTGTTTTTACGCGGATTTCGATGTTTTGGGCCACTATATTCTACCGCATATTCGCCTCTCTTGTTGCTGGTGGCTACTAAGCTTCACATTCTGATGATGAGCCAAGGATTTTCGGTCGACGTCACTGACTTCCAGCTTGACGAGTATTCTAAACTCTGTTTCATCAACCTCTGAATTTGGGGTTCTGTCCAAATCATTACGCGACTGGCCTGAGGTCTGGAAGTCTTTGATGATGAAACATTTTGGTGTATTATTTTACACTTAGTGACACTGATGCCGGAACCTTAAAAGTCTGCGTAATTAGTCTTCACAGATGAGAAAAGAACAACTTAATAATACGAAAATAGGCTTATCAGTGTCATCTAATGATTTCACATGACTTCTACAGTCACCTCATTATGGCTGTGATTAAGTTGCTTGGGTTTTCAATTCAATTGCCTATAAAACCTACAGATGAACGTGACTTAGAATCACGTACCGCATTCTGGACCTTATCACCCTAGGATTCATCGAAATATGTACAGAAATTCATAAGGAAAGTAACGTATAATTTCTTGATCAATTTGAAATTCTTACATATATTCAGAATGTGGTGTGTCTCCTGTAGATTTTCCAGTCGGCTTCACGCCATTCTTGGAAATATAGAAGAGCCTTGAAGGTGCCATATCTGATGCCACAGACGTAAGCAGCCCAAGCTATTGTCCGAGGCGCCCGTGGCTGTGGAACTGCAGATTGTAAAGTTTTCGATACAACACGTTTCTTAGAATGGCATGCAGTGTTACCAGACGTAATGTGGTCGAAGGCTACTGGAAGTGAAATTATTATTTGAGTTAAACACAACAATTCCTCTTCTACTTAAGTTGCCCTCTTGAACGCGAGAGGGAATTGAGGTTTCTGCGTATGTGATGACAAATTAAACTAAACTTAGAGATATAATCTATTGTCTGGCCGGGTCAGCCTGATACGGTAACCGAGTAGACCGTACAGCCAGCAACTCGACGCCGAATGTCGGGCGGCGGTAAATAACCAGTCTCCCTAAGGGGGCCCACGGCTTCGGTCGGAGGAGCCCCTTTAGGTGGGGTGATGGTCCCGTCAGTGGATGATATGCCTCTTAAATCCATCATATGGCGTCTGCTACCCACGTTAGGGGCGGCCTAAAACAAACTTTGAGGAATGCATCGGGAAACTACTTCAAGATTTCCCGCAGTTAATATAGATTCTGGAACGTGTTTAATGATGGGTCACCAACTTTCAAAATGGAAAGACGGACTGATGATGATGATGATAGATATTATCATTCTCGGTACCTCAGACTATATATCGTCGAATGAGTGGGTGATATGAATAATGAATCGGGAAGGATGAGGACGGATGGCTGTTTCAAAATAAGTTACTTAAGATTTTATTCCGTCCTTACGATGGGACTGGCTCAGTGGCTAAGTCAGTTGTTTACGCTCTCATGAATATTCCGTTTTGTAATGAACCATCGACTTAATTGGAGGTTGCATTAGAAATTTGGGTTGGCAACCACAGATTGGGGCGGGGTGGGGCCCCAATCATTACAAGCAGGATGTTTGATTTCTCCTCTCATTTCGACACACTATAGTTCAATACTCGCATTCTTGGTGGTGTTATTATTGTTGTTGTTTTTGATATTAATATGTGAACAGACAGACGTTCAATTAAGAGGAGCAGCTTGACTCTAATTATTTTGGTCTTAGTTAATTTTGCGTACTAAATCTATAAAGGCGTAGGTGTTATTATGTGTATTAAATTGCATTCTTATCGTCATGAGTGATCCATCTATATTACGTGAATTCTCAGGCACTTATGACATTAGAGCTTCCTCGTATTGTTGCATATAATGTATCCTCTAGAGACAGTTTTACTGTTCTTTATAATGCCTTAATCACGTCACATCTAGAGCATGTCTCGGTCGTATGAAATAATCCCTCACTGACAGACTAATAAATTAAAATATATTCAAAGGAAATTTGTCAGTTTCTGCCAGTATCGGGTTTTTCAGTCTGATATCTCACGTAACTATGATTTGATTTTAACTTCCTTAGAGCTTAGAACACTATCCCAAATGAAGACGTCTCGTTGCTTTATGTCTCATCAATGCTTGACGGGTAGTATAAATCGCCATTTCTTCATTTACATTATTTGTGTACGTTTGGCCGGAAGATGTACATAAGAGCATTTCCTACCTTTGTTGTAAACACTGCGTCAAGATCTAGTCCTTCAGTCACGTGCTTCAGTGCTGGAAGTGACGTGTGTAAATCTTTAGACGTATTTTGCTGAAGAGGTTCGATTCTTTTCCTTCTTCTTCCTTAGCGTGAATTGAGTGCCATCGGGCCAGTTCCGAGTTTAAATAAATAAATCTTGCCTTTCCACTGACTTCTAGTTCTTCCTTTAATCCCTCGTTTGTGTTCGTTTATATGTAAGTTTTCTCCTGTCCACTTAACATTTGTATGTCATTTATAATATTTGTGTTCTTCAATCGGTTCTTCATTGATAATTTTGTAATTTATCTGTTCGGATAACCTATCGTCATACTCTCAGTAATCTCAAGAGGTAATAATCTAATCGCCTCGTCACCCTTTCTTAGAATTCAGGTTTCGGTGCCAAACTTTAGCGCTGATTTAGTTGCAATTTTATGCGGTCTGAATGAAGTGCCCGTATTCATTTTGTTCCTAAAATGTCTTTTTTTAACTCCATTAAGTTTATTGTATTTACCCAATCTTGTTTCATGCTCTTATTTCATTTTTAGTTTTCAGGATTTTATTTTTATTTGCTCTCGTGACGGTAATATCTCTTTGATTTAGATTTCTTCATGTGCTTTGCTGTTTCGTCATTGACTTATTCTTACGTTTGCTTCAGGTTTTACATGTTATGTTAGATTTTTCTTGGCATTCTGAATTAGTATGTTGACACGGTGTGGGATAGAGTGGCGTGCTGTTGGTTGTATGCCGGGGTGGAGTATAAGAAAGGTGTTTGTGTCAGTTGAGTGCTTCTAGGGTGCAGCAGTGGCAGGAATTTAGTGAAGCGTGATTGTAGTATGTATGAATTGTAAATGAGTGGATTGAAGTCTGGAGTAGAAAGTTGAATTGAGCGGATTAAAATGGTGTTTGGCGGAGTGGAATTTAATGAAGTGTTAGTAGAATTACAAGGAATGAGGAGAGAGAGAAAGGGGCGAATGTGATGAGAGTGAGGAGTGACTGAAGCGAAAGTAGATATATTTCGAGGAATTCTGGCTCAACCGTTAAAATTAACCACCGCAAAGAAATTCCCAACAAGAATTTTTTCAAGAATTCTCCGGAAATATTTAGAGAGTTCTGGCGCAAAGAGAAAGTTAACCATCACAACGAATATTCCGAAACAAATTTTTTTCAATAATTTTAATGTTTTCTGAAAAGAATTTAATGTTTTCAACAAATACTTTCCGAAAGCAATTTGTCCAAGAATTTTTCGAAAACAATTTCCGCAATGAATTTTCCTAAAATAATTTGTTTTCAGGATGCAGCTTCTCCTCATCCTCGGTAATAATCTCTCCCCAAGGTTTTAATTTTAAAAATATTTCACCTCTTCTTCCCAACACAATATTTCGTGTTCTTTCAAACTGTAAAACTATTTCATTCTTAATAAATGAACACTTGTAAAACAAGTGTGCGTTGGAGTCTGTTTGTTGGAGTGTTCAAATTTCTAACGCCAAATAAACTTATGAGATGTGTATTCATTGATTTTGCCAGATTGTTCGGAAGTTTATATTTTGGCAGAATACGACATTTTATTATGGACCAAGTCATAAAACTTGCTTAATACATATGTTTATGTGAGGGTTCGTAGTAGAAGAAGAATATGTTTCCACTGTTTGTTTCTTTCATTTACATTGCTGTTGTTGAAATGGTTGGATGAATTTGTGATTATGTAAACCACACTCTATTTTAAGTGTACTTAATTTGGTTTTCTTTTCTTTTCTTTTTTTACCCTCCTTGAACATAATGACGGTGGGATTTTTTAAAATAGTTCTTTGATTTATCGTTCCCCTTCAACACGACCGTAACTATCACGACCACCACCACGAAAATACCAAGAACAGCACCACGACCGTGACCGCTAACAAAAACCAACACCACCACGACAAACACGACGCCACCACGTCCACGAACACCACACTCACAAACACCAACGTTCCCACACCCGCTGTGAAGAGTACCTCCACAATCACGACCACGACACGACCGCCATCACAACTAAAACCCTCACGACGACGACAACGAAGTCGAAAATAACGACCAAGACCACTACGACCACCGCATCCACGAATACCATGACCGCCACGTCTAGTGCCTCCAACACCAACAAAACCACGATCAACAGCACTAATACTAATATCAACACCACGACTACCACGACCGTTTCTATCACCATCACCTCATTTACCATGACCATTACCACTACGTCCACCGGCACAACCACCAAACCACTACGATTACCACACGACTATTAGCACGACCAAAACTATCACTAACAACACTAACACGAACACCATGATAACTACGATAACAACTGTCACGACACCCACCACCATGATGATGACTAACACCACTAACATAGCCGCTACGACCATAAACATGAAACGATCATGACCTTCATTATTACGACTAGAAACCACAACTACAATAAACAGCACGACCACTAAGACCACGAACATCACTACCACGTTTCTACCACAATGGCATCCACGACAACGACGATCACCACTACCATCTCCAGAAATACTACCAGCACTACAATCACGATCACAACTCACAACACCAATAGCAATACCAGCATCACCACCAGCACCACCGCCACCGCCAACACAACGATCACTACCACGTACTAATCCACGATATTCATTACAACGATTTGTAGGACCACTACAATCAACACCGCAATTAACATCTCGACGTCCATCATTATGGAAACCTGCACCACAAATCTATTATCACGACGACCACCAACACGACCGCCAATAAGATGACCACCACAAACTCAAACATCAATATGACAATCATCACTATCATCACCATTACAATAACGCGATGACCATTACCTAAACCTAGACTATCCCCTCAACCACCAAGAGCAACGCCAAATTATGATCACCTCCGACATGACAAACATCACCTCGACCGGCACCACCACCAACTATTCCGCACACACCACCATCACAACGTCGGCCACCGCCAACATGACCACCACAATCACAGGCACCAACAAGACAACGTTCACCACTACGACCACTTCGACCACCAGTACATCGAGAATCACCATCACCACCATCATCACCATATTCATCACCACTACGACCAACACGTTGACCACGACTGGGTTAAGTCAGCTGTTGACACCCTCATGAGTATTCGATTTTGTAATGTGTCGTCGAGGTAATTGGAGGTTGCATTAGAAATTTAGGTTGGCAACCACAGATTGGGGCGGGGTGGGGCCCCAATCATTACGTTCTAATATTAATCATGTAACTGTGTAAGGATGAATTACGTTGTATCATATTTACCTTTCTGAATTAGTTTCATGTTACATTAAGGTAAGTAATGTCGATTCGCTGGAAGATATTTTGTGATTTGTACTTTTATGTTTGTGTGCTTTGGCATATGGAATGAAATCTTCAGACTTAAGACCGGTAGAAACTAGTAACTCCATTTTATCCGGTAAGGGATATGACCAAATTCGTTCTTTATTGTCCAACTAACTAACCATCTAACTAACCAACTAACTAACCAACTAACTAAAAACTAACTAACCAACTAACTAACCAACTAACTAACTAACTATCTAACCAACTAACTAACTAACCAACTAACCAACTAACCAACTTACTAACTAACTAACCAACTAACAAACCAAGCGCGTGATTCGTATTAATTGTGCGAATTCACGTTGACATTCGGAACGAAATTTTCGCATTTCAGGCAAGAGTGACGTAATAGCTTTAACAAAGAGTCTGGAATTACTAAACGCCATACATCCCGAGTGACTTCTACATAAAAAGTCTAGGATTGTGGATTTCATTGCTTCCGTTTTATCATTTCCACATGACAAAGTGCGTCCATTCTCTTTTCGATTGATGTCACAGACCAAGGTCTTTCCAACATATGTCGTTCTCGTATTCTGCATTCCGTAACGCTGTGATTCATCCAAGTACGTCCTTTATACCTGAACAGAGTCTGGCACAAAATCATCCAGAATTTATCGAAGTACACGAAGATTGCTCATACGTGCAGAGGCTTGAAGTTATCATCACAGATGCTGTTTGGGGAAAGGCGTTCTTGCGAAACAAGTAGGAATAAAGAAACCTCTGCCAGATTTCTTGTCAAGTTTCAGACCTTGGGCATTTGTAAGACCAAGACGTACATCCTTTGCTCCTGCAGATAATC